GCCATTAAAAGTGCGTGTGATAAGGTGTTTCCTTGGGCAGTGAGAGGAATATGTTATTATCACCTTCAAGATAACATTGTCAAAAAGTATAAAGGGAAACATCTCTTGTACTTGGTGAAAGGTGCTGCTTATGCTCATACGGTTTCAGATTTTAACCGGTACATGGCTGAGATAAATAGTGCAAACCCGGACCTTGCAATGTATTTGGTGAATGCCGACGTCAGCCTATGGACAAGGGTTTATTGTCAGGGGGACAAGTACAACATAAAAACAAGCAACATCGCTGAATCTATTAATTCTGCACTGAAGCGAGCTAGAGGACTTCCGATTAAGTTTCTGCTGGAGTTCATAAGGGAGAAGCTAGGAAAGTGGTATTGGAAAAGGAGAGAAGATGCTTTGAGTCTCCCAACTCAACATAGTCGGGGTGTTGAATAATTGCTTGCTGTTCGAGAGGAGATAGCAGATACGATGAGGGCCCAACCAATTGATGGATGGCGATTCTTTGTGAAAGGTGGCAAAATGGACTGTGTGGTTGATTTGGAACATGGAAAGTGTGATTGTGGTGTCTACCAAGTGGAGAAAATACCTTGTTCTGATGCTATAGCTGCTGGTACATTCGCTGGTTTGCATATATCCACACTTGTACATCCAGTGTACTCAAAGGAGAATTTGTTTGGAGGATACTCAGAGAATATATTTCCTTGTGCTGGACAACAAGTTGAAGAACGCACATGCTTCCCTCCAGAGGTAAAACGTGGTCCGGGGAGACAGAAGAAATCAAGATGGCAATCTTGGTTGGAGCTATCTAGGATGAAAGGACGCAAACCACGGAAGCAACACTGGGTTTATAGATGCTCAAACTGCAAGGAAACTGGCCATACGAAACCACAATGTAAGAATCCGGTTGATTAGTCGTTCAAACGACCTATAATTAAGTCGTCTAGTGTTGATTAGTCGTCTAGACGACCTATAATTAAGTCGTCTAGTGTTGTTAAGTCGTTCAGACGACCTATAATTAAGTCGTCTAGTGTTGTTAAGTCGTCCATGGTTACCTTGTCCTCTGGACGACCTAAAGTTAAGTCTTCTAGTGTTGTTTAGTCGTTCAGACGACCTATAATTAAGTCGTCTAGTGTTGTTAAGTCGTCCATGGTTACCTTGTCCTCTGGACGACTTAAATTTAAGTCTTCTAGTGTTGTTTAGTCGTTCAGACGACCTATAATTAAGTCGTCTAGTGTTGTTAAGTCGTCCATGGTTACCTTGTCCTCTGGACGACTTAAATTTAAGTCTTCTAGTGTTTTGTCAAATTGCACAACCAAAAGATTATAAGACGACTTAATTTTAAGAATTTTAATGTACAACAACGCAACATACAACAA